AAGATGGAGATCATTGGTGAAAGGTAAATGTTGTGTCTGACTGTATGACTATGTGTCTGAATGCTAAAATAAGGGAAAATAATTTATGCAGACCCTCTAGGTTGCAAAAGAGTAAAAGGAGGCAATGAGTTGCTCCTAAATGGCAGGATTGCATAAAAGGAACCATCTGGATGTTCTTGAAAATAGAATGTCTTCTAAGTAAGGCAAATGACTTGTGTCAATATTATGTCAACTGGGGAAGAATGTTTGGTAAAGGGAAGAAATCAGTTGTTTGACAAGCAGCACCTAGATGGTTTCTACTTTTGACTTCTTTGCCCCTACAAGGATAGCTGCTATAAACATTCTAGAACACATAGATTCTTTTCCTTTTTGCCTAATTATCTTTGGAAACAGATCTAGTAGTGGTATTTCTGAGTCAAAGGATATAAGCATTTAATAACTCTTTGGGCATAATTCTAGATTGTTCTCCAAAATGGTTGATCAGTTCACAATTCCACCAAGAGTGAATTAATGTCCCAGTTTTTCCACATCCCCTCCAACATTTGTCACTTTCCCTTTCAATTATTTTAACCAACCTGATATAAAAATAATACCTCAAGGTTGTTTTAATTTGCATCTCTAATCAAGAATGATTTTTTGTTTTTATATGATAACCATCTCTAGGATGGGGGAGATAAAAATAAAAAGGGAAAAAAGAAGTTACATGATAACTTTATTATATATTTAAAGGGAACAACAAGTTATACATAATAGATTTGCAGTTTCATGTACAATCATCTTTTTTTTCTATTCTACTATGTTATGGAAATGCATATTTTATTTCTTAAGGTCAGAATAAAAGAATTTAAGATAAAAAAATTTTTTTAAAGTGTGATCTCATTTAAGGAGCTTCCTCCATCCACTTGGAGTGCTAGTCATGCCACTACAGGAGGCATGGTGAAGGTCTGGCAGGTGGTAACAGGGAGTGGCCCAGGTCGGGTATGGCTCCAGGTGGCTATCCAACTGGTGGTAAAGGCCAGGAGGCAGGTAAAGAAGTAATGGGCAGAAGCCCCGTGGAGGAGTCCAGTATAGAGATAGCAAGGGCCTCTAAGCAGGCAAAGGAGATACCAGGAGTACCTTATTGTCCACAGCCAGTGGTGTGGAGGGTGCATTACCAGGAGCCATTGTCCCTCCTGATATGAATCTAGTAGTAATAAGCTCTAGAATGGTGGAGAGGAAGTTTTGTGTTGCAGGTAAAGTGGGATATAATGGTACCAGAGTGGTGATTCCAAGGTGCTCTCATGGTGCTTGCTTTCTCCAGGATAGTGTACATGCTTAAATTTCCTTCTGACACAGGCTCAGTGCTCCTGGTTGGAGCTGAGACTGTCACCTCAGTGTTGTGTGAGAGAACTGCCCCTTGATGCTGCCCTGAAATCCATGTTTCTGGGAGTAGAACGCAGAACATATGTAGCATTCCCTGGTGACCTGGTCAGTGAGAGCTGTGGCAGGTGAAAGATGAAATGACTGAGGAAACAAAGGTTCAACACTATGGTTTATTAAGCAATGCATGCTGAGGGATATTATTATTTTACAATAACCAATGGTTACATTGGGATCCAGGCTTTCCTCCTCTTTCTTCATTAAGGCTCAGCTCCTGTGGAAGGTCAGCCTCTAAAGGACATGACTAATTGAGATTACCCCCAGCCCTCAGGGAACAAGCTCTTCAATCTTGGGCCAGACCCCACCCAACTAGGAGACCTTACTCCTGTTTAGAGTATAAAAAGAATCCAGACCAGGCAAGTTCTTCCCTGGAGGAAAAGATCCCCTGTCCTAGAACCCCTCGTTAGAGTTTAAGGTGATCCAGCTCACGAAAGAGAAAAAATCCCAGAGTGGTCTGTGTGGAGATTGATTCCATTGTCCAGCCTGTTGGAAGGGCTGAGTCTCACTCTGAAGACTTCTAGCCTACCTCATTAAATATCCACAAATCAGGATTGATTTTCACTTGTTAGGAACATTCCCTTTTACAAAAGTATTCAAGACTTTCTTGCTCTCCATGGTTTTTGTCTTTGGTTACCAAAAGAAACCCCTGACCATCAATTTATTGATTGGTGCCTAGCCTAATAAATTAATTATTAATTACCCAGAGACTCTGTCTCTCAGGGTTTTTCATTCATAACAATGTAAATTGCCCAACAGATTGGGACTAATAGCCTTCCTCAGCTTTAGCATGGGACCCAGAATACAGGGGGAGACAGATTTTTATACATTAAAAATAACCACTTTTATGGTTCAGTCATGAACCCTTCATGACCCTGTTTGGGGTTTTCTTGGCAATGATACTGGAGTGGTTGGCCATTTCCTTCTCCAGTAAATCCAGTGGATTCATTTTTGTCAGGCAATGAGAGTGAGTGGGATGTCCCTATGAAGACTTCTCAGTGTAATTAAGGTTTGGGATAAGATTATCCTGAATTTGGAGATAGTTCAGAAGACAGAAAAGGATAAGTATAGATTTCTATAGTCCCCTTTTTCTCCCAGTCTGACATCAGTAGTTAAAAGATTGCCAAGCCTGAAACACCTGAAACCCCCCCACCACCACCACCATATTCTGTTGCTACATTCCGGTCACAGTGACCTTCCCACAGCAGCGTCTAGCTTGATCACACATTCTAAATTATTCATTTTTGCAGCAAACTAAGGTGATGGATATGTATATTGTTTCTTTGTTCTCTGTCTCTGGGAATAGATTTTCGAATTTAGATTGTAAGCCAAAATATTGGTCAGTTGGTGGGAGGGGGAATTTCTCAGTTAGGGCTATTTAATCTGGCTTTCTGCTTCTGTACTCTGTCTCCTTTCATCCGACCTTACTGGTGGAAGGACACCCGATTCTTGGGTTCTCAAGAATTGAAATAAACTTTCTATTCCTACCTTGAGATCCCTCTAAGTGTTTTGGTTTTTGTTTAGGTCGCATCCCACACAAGAGGTTAAGTGACTTGCCCAGGGTCACACAGCTAAGAGGTATCTGAGGCTAAATTTGAACTCAAGTCTTCTTGACTTCAGGCCCGGTGCTCTGTCCGCTGAGCCACTGGCTGCCTCAGTTAATCAAATAATACCAATTAATTAAAAGGAAACAACCAGGATACGACATTAATAATGTAATTTCTAATTGGAAGAAAGATTAGGGATTTTCCAAGTTGGGAGAGAGGGAGCAAACAGGTGCAATTCCTGAAATCAGAAAAAGCTACATCCACCTCACCCTGATGCAGTTTAGGGGTTCGAGGGTGCTGGGACCCCCAAATCACAATATGCGGGTCCTGCCCAAAAGAATTTGACCGAAGTCTTCTTTTAATCAAAGACAAGGTTTATTAGAACATCCTTCATATTGGTCAGACTCTTAAGGAGTCTGAACATTAATAAGCTATTGGCTAGATTATAAGAATCCCAGCAGTGGCTAGATTATAAGAATCTAAACTGGGGTGAACAGAACTCCTGGGAACAGGACCTAGTGGCCTAGGGAGAATGGAGCCTAGCTAGAATTAAGGGTGGGAAATGGCCAGGGGCCATAGGGAGGTAAGACAATGGCGGGGAGATTGGGTGTAGCCACAATGAAAGGCCAGTTGATGGGATTATAGCCTCAGGCAAACGCCAGGGATTTGGCCATGTGGGAAAGTCCAGGGTTTTTCCTTTCCGAGGCCCAGATCCCAACCCTATCACCCCCAGAGTGTCTATAAACAATCAAAGGAACATGGAAACAATAACTGATCAGTGTGAGAGCAGTTTTCAGATAAGACGTGGGTTGCTTGAAATGTACATTGTGAGAGAACTCCTTGCATCAGCCTTTGTATCTGACCATGTTTCTGGTCAGTATAACTGAGGCCCTTAGTTAAGGGTCTCTAAACATCAGGGAGAGGTGGTCCAGCTTCCCAACCATGATGGGCTAGGTTCAAACAATGCCATAAAGTTTTCTCATAGTCCCTACAAATGAATCAAGTTTCCCACGAGACAGAGGTTGGACTAGATCCACAATGAAATAGACGGGAAATTGAGCTAGATGCAGAATTGAGTCTCAAGACGCAGTCAGTGTGGTTCAACGAATTCCCACAGTTAACCACTTAGTGCTCTAATCCCTTCAATTCTCTCTGTGCTGTGGAGGTTTTCAGACCTTGACCCTTCAACCAACTTGTAAGGTTAGCATTCCCTAAATATCCAGGACATTCATGTGCCATTTTCTCAAGTCCAATTTCCATATGAGGCATGTCCTATAAAGTCATGGGGCATTCTGGGTTGCTGGTCCTGTGAGGTTGTCAACCACCTGGTTGAGGTCTGCTTCCTCTGTAGCCCTTTCTGTGGGGGTAGAAACACCCAGATTGGGTAGGTTTGTGGGCACACTGCAATGTCCTTCCAAAGTACAGTAGCTCATTTGGATCTGCCAATCATCATGGGCCCGCTTGCTAGACCAGAACTCAAGTCTGTTGGCAGCTGCCCAGGAGTCATTATGGATCAGGAGCCCCTTTCTTGCTTCAGTGAGTCCCTCATGGTTAGGTGGATGGCCTTCGGCTCTGCCCACGGGGCACCATGCCTCATTCATCAGTCTTCAAAGAAGTGGCATTCACAGGGCAAAAAGCTACAGTTACCCACTGGAAATACTCACTGGAACTGGTGCCACTGCCGTCTGTGAAATAAGCCTCATCCCTATTGTTTGATGCCACTGTGGGCCCCACTTAGCAAATGGGTCAAGTAGTGAGGGAGGGGGGTGTCTCCTGGGCTTGTGCCAA